CATTTATGGTATTATACGTTTGCATATTAATGTTTAAAGGCACATTAAAATCTCAGTTTGAAACTGCTGAAAGTCTCAGGCATGATTCACATTGTCTAAGCAAACAGTGAAAGCAATTTGTGATAGCGAACAATTAGTATTTATCGGTGCCTTTCTCTTATACCAAGCATTGTCCTTGGTGCCCACTTATCTCAATGTTCCTTTCAAAGACCTTGGGAAGTTGGCATTTAGTTTTAGCTTTGCTTGCCAAAACTGTACTAGTTGGTAGCCTGGCTCCATATCATAACACTTCAAATATTTCTCTTCTGTATGTTCCTTAGGGCACAAATAAGCAGCGATGTTGTTCCTTGCAGGTTGATATATTGCCTCAGCAGGTTCATTTTCACTACCAGTAAATATATGGGATATTGCAATACATATTGCAATTTACATGCAATGAGAACTTTGAAATTTCTAGAGTAAATTTCAGTTGTGTCAGTAATTAATGAGGGGAGTAAAATATCTGGGGCTTTACCTTTTTGCTATTTCATTGATTGAAATAAATTAAATCCTTTATTCAAGATCTAAAAGTCCTTGAATGTATTGAATTTTTATTGAACTTAAAATGTCTTGAGGATGTTTCTATGTTTTAAAGCATTGTTCATTTATTATTGTTTTAATTTTATGTAGATGTGTATGTGTAAGTTAATGTTCATGAAGGTGCCTGTGGAGGTGAGAAAAGGGCATTGCGTCCCCTGGAGCTTCAGTTATGGGCAATCATAAGAAGCTTCAAGTATGTGCTGGGGAATACATCTAGGTCCTTTGGAAGAGCAGTACATGCTTGTAACTGCTAATACATCTTTCCAGCCTGCCCCGTTGTGTGAATTTAAATAACTACTGTAACTGTGCATGTTCTCTTTTTATACCACTTTTGTCTCACTGTCACCTGGCTTGGCTTCTGTAGACAAGTATGAGTGCTGAGAAGTCCTGATTATTGTTTTAAGTATTGTTTGGTGAATTAGTTCATAACTGATTTATGTTGACAATTGTGGAATCGAAATCGTCAAGTACACTCAAGCTTAGAAGAAAAAAAACATTTTATGATTTTAGGTTCTCAGTAAAGTCTAACTGTAGTGTTATAACCATTTACTCAATGACCGATTAGTCTAGGAAACTAGACATCCTGAAACTTTAAGTCAGCACACACAGAGGTAGAAGGTAAGACTACTCAAAAGATGGATTTGTTGTAGATTTGGACTCATGTATAATTTAATCCAGAAAAATCTCTTTGGATCATGGGAAACATAGCTGCCCCAAAATGGCATCATTCAGAGTCATTTGTTGGCAATGGGGCTCCAGCAATTTATTTGTAAGGAAGTAATAAATATAAGTTTAAAACTTAACACCAAGACTTTCAGTGTTATTTGAAGTAATGAAAATCTTAGTAACTATATTGTCCATTGCTAGAGAGAAGCACATCCTTGAGCAAGAGGGTTGTTGATGCTGTAGCAAAGGCTCTGATATATTGCTAGAGATACACAGAGTGGACCATGATGCCTAGGTTATGCAAAGTCAAAACATTTTATAAAAGGAATCAGGATAACACATGAAAACTGAAATTAGTAATATAGGCATAGAACACATTTTCTTATTTAATACTCCTCTGTACTCTCAGAAATTTATTTTATGATCGTTTGATGATTTAGTAATTAGAAAAATGAAGATAAATACTGGCAAAAGTAAATTGTGATTGGAATTTGTATCCAAGCATCAGCCCTCTGTATTTTTCGATTTATTCTGACCCGAAGGGTACAAAGCCATCATGTTTTAAAGTCAAATCAGGAGCTTTAGCTTTAAATTTTTATTTTTATTTGTTGATTGATTGCAATGCTGTGTGTTGAATCTAGCACTTCACACATACTAAGCAAAAAGTCATCCAGAAAGCTGTATCCTCAGGACTCTTTTTACTTTTCTATTTTGAGAGAAGGTCTATCTCAGTAAATTGTCTAGGCTATATATCAATTTGTTGTCCTCCTGTTTCAGTCTCTCAATAACTGGGATTATACATCACCAGGCATGCCTTGAGCTTTACTTTATATATGTATATGGATATTTTATTTATTTACAATACAGATGTCATCCCTTTTCCCCATCTCCCCTTCCTAGAACCACGTATCCCATCCCCCCCTCCTTTATGAGCCCTAGTAATATATGTATAATTTGGTCAGGGTTAACTCTGTAAGTCACCTTTTGGTCTCCAGATGGAGCTATTCATGTTGGAAGGAGGAATAGTAAGAATTTAATGTCCCAGTTATAAGTGCTGCCTCATACCTGCTACATTAAACTCAAATCATCTTCCAGAAAGCTATGAAAATGATAACTATGTTGTTTGAGATTTCTTAATTAGGGCTGAGCACTAGGTGCTATTTAGTTTTTGCACTAATGAGGCAAGATCCATATTGATTTTGGATTTCCCTTAAAAGTAAGTCAAACACTATTGACCAAGTGGGGGGAATTTATGTTGGGGAACTGATCCTTGTGAAAAATACAAGATTTATGGAATATTTTTAGCTAGTTCCCTTTGAGTAATACTAAGCGCCAAATAATCCCTTTTTTTTTTCATGATAATTATTCATTCCAAATGGAGGCTATGTATCGAGAGGTAGACTCAATAAAGTCTCTGGAGAAATTTTACTCTCCTTTTTCTGTATTGAAGTTATATGACCATTGAAGACAGTATACTTGATTTGATATAAATCCTTAAGATTCATTTTAGACACTATAAAAACATATTTGACCATTCCTAATTTTTCCAAAGAAATTTTATTATAAGCTATAACTACTAGTAGATATGCTGCATGGCTTTTTTTTTTGCATGTGGTGGCAGGAGGAGGATGTCAGATGTCCTGATTTAGACAGAGTCTGTCCTTGAACTTGAAATTAGGCCAGTGGTCATAAAACCTCCGTGATCTTCCTAACTTTCCCTTTCTATAGCACCAGGGCTATAAGCACAATTGTCACATAATACAAAATAACAGCAGAATGAAAAAAATAAGGTAAACAAACAGGATGGAAAGTTCTATTTAACCAAAGACAGCTAGTTAAGCATGTCAGTGATCATTCTTGTTATCAGTCTTGCTCATTGTTGGTGAGATCACTGTTGGACTAGTTGGTTATGTGAGAAACGTGCAGACTTCAGGACTGTAATTTGCTTGTGTGTGTCATGGTATTTAGGAAATGAACAGCTCCCAGAAAAGATAAAGAAATATTTTCAGAAATTGTAGCATTGAATGAATTGGGCAGGAAGGTGAGAGTCTGTAATGTAGTATTATGTAAAGTAGTTTTATCTTTAGGATAAAACCCAAAGAATGGAACTCTGAAAGAGTGGGTCTTGGCTTACCAATTAGGAAAAAAAAATGTTCTAATAGGTCCAAAAATTAGAAGAGGCTGTTTTTCTAAGCTTGTTAATTTACATCGTTAGACAAATTAAAACTAAACTTGGATTAAAGGGTTATGCCAATCTGTAAAAAGTTTGCATTAGTTAAGATGGTACCATGTTTAATTGACATAATAAAGGTTCGCCCCATATGTGGATGTATCTTAATGCTGGCCATATGGTTTAGTGAACAGAGGAAAGGTTTTATCCGTGCTTCCTCTTTCTCTAGCAGATCGAGTCGTGTGGTCTGTCTTTTTATTAGCAGTGTTGTATACCAACCTCATGTAGTGGACATTAGTTAGAAACTTCTGTGACCCTTACTTTGTGAGTCTATATTTCCAGTAAAACTTGGATGGATATCTATAAAAGCTTTTGGTCTTCTGTCCCTGCACAGGTGAAGCATCATGCTGAAATCAAAATTCATACGCCAATCTTTTCTTATGCCTCTCAAAACACAGGGAATGTGATCCAGTTTATAGCCAGCTTAATATTTCCCAAAAGACTCTCACCTCACTCAAACCTGGACCAGTTCCCTTATACATCTAACTGCCTTGAACGCTCTCAGTGCCAACCTCCCACCTCTGTGATGTCTCAAGTCAGGAGGGATGCTATATCGCTTGTACCTTCTCCCTCAGTGTAGGTCCCATTCAGTTTTTCCTTCTCCATATCCAGATTCTATACTATAAAGAAAATGACTATGTTAATAACAAGAACACTTCTTAGATTTTGAAAGGGCAAGGAAGAGTTGAGCAACCAAAGACAAAAGCTCTCTCTATTTTTTCTCCTACTACCTCCTCTTTTCTCCCTGCATACTATTTCTATTCTTTTAAAGCACAGTGTGACAATTTTGCTGCAACAGGCTAAGTGATCCCTGAGCCATTGTAGGAGGATTATTGCATTTATAACTATGTAGTGGATATGTCCGTAGTTTCTTCCAGTAGATAATAAGGGAAAGAAGAAAATGATATGGATAAGCACTACTCATAAAGAATTTGCAGTGTGAGTGAGTGAGAAGAAAATCATAAGAGAAAGATGTAAAGCAAGAAAAATAATTATGAAAATGACTTCAGCTCTCTATCTGGGAAGGCTACCTGAATACTAACCCTACAGCATGGCGAGAGTACTGGCGATCCAGGGACGTATTCATGGAAGATGTGGATTTTCATAAATATTTAAAAGATCTGATGTCAGTATGTGGCAGGTCATTAACTGTTTCTGGAACACAAGTGTCTGGGTGGAATGGGATGAATTTACCCTCAATGGTAATGAAATTCCCCTGTTCCTGAGCATCCAACTCTTTCTGTGTGACTTTATTGATAATTTACTTCTTTTCCTGAGAAAATGTTAGTTATATTTCCTTCATGAAATATCTCCTAAAGCATAGGCAATACCTATGCTGTCCTTCCTCTCCTCCTCCACAGTGATTGATTAACGCACACTTCTTGGATGAGAGTTTATGGTAAGCTAGTTGGGAGCAGCAGGTGGGACAGGAGAATTCCATTGCTTTCATTAATAGGTTTGAGTTTGATGTTGGAGATTACAGAAATGTAGACATATTAATGATGTCATCCAAATGATGTTTTAGGAAGAAGAGCTTTCCTGTTGGTCCATATTGGAAGTGGAAGACAGTCAGAAAATCTTTTGATGACTATAGGTGTTTGCTGGACATTCAGGAAAGAGGTAGCCCAAATGAGTGGTATACAGTATTGAACATCAAAGTACCTTCAGTCACTGAAACTTTCAAATAAATGCTATTACTCTTGAACTTTATGGGCTGGCCTAGTCATTTTGAAAATCTCATGTGTGTGTGAAGAAATTCCTCATAAAGCTTTCTTTGTTTGGCATTACTGATTATAAATAAAACTGATATCGTGTCGTGCTGTAGAGAGAGGTTTTTGGCAGGCTTTAAAGAATGTGTCTGCACACAGGCTTGGAAAAATACAGAAGTTGAACTCCAGATTTAAACTATAGGATTTTTAGGAAAAATTTATTCTCTTAGAAACTCTCTGATGAGCCATCCATTTTTTCTTCTCATTTTTTGAAGCCTAAGTTTGAATTTTTTAAAAAAAATTTCATATTTATCTTAAGAAAGTAATGCACAATACATGTATACATAATTCTTGACTTCTGTGCACATATGCTGAATAGAGTACATGCAACAAAGGGAGAGACTGCCACGCATGAAGGAAATCCAACCTATATTTTCTATTGTGTGCATTTGCATTTATCTTCTCAGGCTATTTTTATATCACACAATAAATTAAAGATGCTACCATTTCCAGCATCCTCTCTGAATGAGATCCTTCTCTCCTTCTCCCTCTCTTTGTTTTGCTAGGGAGTGAACCAAGGGCCTCATGCATGGTAGGCAGAAACTATTCCCCTGAGCTCCATCTCAGCCATAAGAAGATTCCTCTGCTAACCTTTAGCCTAACCCTGAGTTACAAATTTATTGAAGTGTTAGAATTTTAATGGAAAAAATACAGAAAAAATCTCATATATTCATACAAAAGTACATCTCTTGATGTATTTAGGATTTTGGAATTTGAAAAAAGTATTGCCAAGTATTACACATATTAAAAGTATTACACATCTTATAAGCAAGGGGCATCATATTTTTGAAGCTGAGAAAGTAGCTCTTTCTCTTAATGTAATTAATGGGGAAAAGCATAGCGGGGCTCCTTTAGAGAATAAAGGATCTAAATCCTTACTGTTGTAATAGCTTCTAGTATCTGATGTCTAGTCTCTGGACAAATGGACATTGGAAAGCACTGTAAATAACTACATGCATGCTTTTCTTTCTTTTGGCCTTCACAGTATGAGTTAGAATATTGGCTTTTTGGGTTAATTCCAATGGTTCAGATCATAATACAAGCTTATTCTTCTGGACGCTGTGGGAAACAATAATACAATAAAATCTTTGACAGTCTATTCTGTTATAAAATGTAACACTAGCTTTTAAAAGAACACTCTACTAAAAGTTATATCAACAAAAATAGTATTACACACACACACACACACGCACACACCTCTTCAAACAATAGTTTTAATGATACTGAATTTCTCAATAAATTTTACTTACAATGACATAAGTGTGTTAATTAAAAACGCAGAGAAACAATCAGTGAAAAGTGAATGAGTAGAGACAGGAAGAAAAATAAACTCTAGCCACAAATATTTGCTCATTGTGGTACTTAATTCCTTAGCCCAGGAGATGAAATTTCAGTTTGTTTATAAGAACCAGCTAGTCTTTTCTCAGATGGCACAGTGGTTATCTGAATGTTTTTTCTATGAATGAAAACCTCATCTTCCAGAGAATTGGATGACAAGGACTCATGGAGTCCCCTATCCTCTTTCCGAATTTTATGGAATTGGCAATTTTTAGTCATGTTGGAAATATATACCTCACAAAGAAGTGCGGCTGTAGCATATTCTGTACTGCAGATCCTTCTGGCAGTCAGGACTTAGCTTTTGCTTGTAGGGAGACACTGGGCTGGCTGGATCCTTCCTGGTTTCATTAGCATAGCCCCGCCCACTTCCACCACACGCCCAGAACTACCTCATTAACCATTGGGAATGCAGCCAAAAACATAAGGCGACAGTGAATATAAAGGGAATTACTGGCAAGGGAGCTGTAACTATCTCACCACTGAACCTATTACTTTTCCAAGATCAGAAAAGTATTACATGAACAGGGACCATTCCTTCCTTGTTCAGATAAGAATTCAAGGTTTGAGTCTATAATTTTTATCTAGAATAATTAGCTAAACCACAGTAAAGCATGCAGCTCAGTTGCATCCATTTCTCTCTATTTCTCTCTCTCTCTCTCTCTCTCTCTCTCTCTCTCTCTCTCTCTCTCTCTCTCTCTCTCTCTCTCTCTCTCCTTCTTCTTCTTCTTCTCTTTCCTCTCTCTCTTCCTCTTATTTATTTTCTGGATAGCTTTGACATTGTAAACCACAAACGAATTGGAGCCTGGCATCGAAAGGAGGTGTTCTCCAACGATTTTTTTTTCTGTCTCCCTTGCCTGAAGAAGTTGACTACTACAGGAGGAAATCTGAAAAATGACGGGAGCAAAGAGGAAAAAGAGAAGCGCGCTGTGGGGCAAGATGCACACCCCCCACAGAGAAGACATTAAACAGTGGTGTAAGAGGCGCCTACCTATCTTGGAATGGGCACCACAGTACAATCTGAAGGAAAACCTGCTTCCAGACACTGTGTCTGGGGTCATGTTGGCAGTTCAACAGGTGACACAAGGTAAGTGTGCATTTGGGTTTACAGTTTTCTGCAGAATGGATGTTACTTTGCTTCTGGGTGGGGGTTATGTTTGAGGGGGTGACAGTTTAGCTAGTGAAAACAGACTTAATAAAATAGTTATTAATGTTAGGAAAATAAGCAGAGTAGATGTTTCTGTGTCATATTTTCCTAATTGCTTTTAAAATTACTTGGCTTTTTCTCCCCTCAGCTAGGAATTAAGCAATTAAGCAGCAATCCTTGAATGGAATTACATGTTTTGCAACGTTAAAGTTCATAATGGTTCAGGGTAAAGGATCAGTGATTGTGGGAAATGAGCTTTTATAACTTCACTGTGCTGACATAATTTCCCACCTTCATCGAATCAAGCTATAAAACATTTCCTGTTCTGAATACAATTGGTTTTGAGCCCAATTAGCAGCACACAGTTACAGTTACCTGCCATAGCCACAGGACTTGCTATAAGCAGAGAACAAAGCTTTTTGTACATAAAGGAGGCTTATTGCCAAGATCATTATTTGCAAAGAGAATCCCATGTCCTCAGAGCTTGTATGGACTGCAGTGTACCTGTTTACTTCCGAGGTGCAGTCCCTACAGGATTCCTGTCTCAATGAGAAATATAACGTGGTAAAACATCCCCAGAACAGATTTAAAAAACATGACATTCTGGGTTGATAGGTGTGCACTCGTGTGTGTGTGTGTGTGTGTGTGTGTGTGTGTGTGCGCGCTTGCATACCTTCTTTCCCTAAAGGTATGTTCACATGAGTTTTGGCTAATTCAGGTAATAATGTTCTACCTGTAGCCAGAAAAGGAACTTATTTCTCAACTTCCCAGCGTTAAAACTTTGGAACAGCTTTCTTGGCAAAGACTCCTAGTGATTATATTTCCATGCAGTCTCACTACCTCCCTGGCTTTCACTATTATTTATTCTGTTCAATTATAAATATGCTTTTAATGAAATTACTCTGTAGCTGGAACAAACTGGTTTGTGTATTTGTGTTTTCAGTCTGATTAGGAACATCCGCACAGGGGGATTTAAGATCCACAGTGCTGTCATACTTTATGGAATCCAATTTTACTGCTTAACTCTGTGTTATATTTTTAATGACTATTTTGCCAATAGCAAAGTACAGTAAACTTTAAGAAATGAAAAGGTAATAGCAGGTCAGGGAATTCCCAGCCTTTCTTTTATTTGATTTTAAATTCCAGATAAAACACCCTCATATCATTTGAAAATTTAGCTGATGGACTTAAACAAGTTTTCTCTCCCTGGATGGTTAGTTTCACTATATCCCATAAATTTATTTTTCTGTTATTTAATATAAAATAAAAGTGGAATAATTACAATTTTAGCGGTAGTTGTCTTTTTCTGTTTGAAAAGCAAGAACATTTGGGAATGTGATACAGTTCCCCTAGGCTTGTCATTAGGATGTGGCTTACATGGAAGCCTCTGGTAGTTAGTTTGGTTTAGATTTTGAGAAACTTTGTTTAGTGATCATGTATTACATTGACTAGGAAGAAGTACATTGGTAAGCTGATGAGACGCACGAAGCTTAATCAGCCTAGTTCCATGAGAAGTTTGGATTCGGTCACATGTTCTGTACATGGACACTTACACTGCCAGGAAGAATGTTGGTGTTTTTCCTGTTGTAAGAAAAGATGAATTCTTGCAAAGAGCCTTTTCAAATATGGATTTCTCATTCTTTTTCAATTCTTTCTATTTGAAAGAGTTCAAAGGTAAAATAGGTATTGTAAGGGGCTTACTCTTTAAAAGAATCCAGAGTTAATGTTGCCCTTTCCATACGAGGCTTGAAACAGGCCCTCATACCTGAGAAGTGGAGGAGTCAGGACTCGAGTCCAAAGCCAACATGCTCAACATTTTCATTTTATTCTCTATACAGCCAAAATCATCAGACTTTTTGTAATACCAATGTTATTTGTAATAGGAGACGTTTTGGAAAAATTGACTGTCTGTCTCTGCAAGTGAGGTCCATATTCAAGTTTCATTTCTGAGGTTTTAGAGTCAAAGTAGAAGTGACAGGAAAAGCCATCCCAGCAAGGGGAACAAGCAGACAGTGTCTCCCTGCTGCTGAATGTTGATGCTTGTTATCAACCCCTGTATTAAGGAGACTTAGGAGGAAGAAGGAGTAAAGCTTGCTCTTCTACCACAGTGCAAACAATAGAAACACATCCCTTTAAACTACTGATATGTGAAGTAGTGCTCTGAATTCAATGTCTTTTAACCTATAGGTCCTGAAAATTGGTACAGTTCTGCATAGAAATCACTCTTCCTTTTTCTGTCTCTAGAAATTAATTGAAAATCAAGTTAATGAAAAGTATCCTGAGTGATAACTATGGGATAGTGTTATGCATTTTAAAAATGATTTATTATTTATTTTATTTATACGAGTACACTGTAGTTGTCTTCAGGTACATCAGAAGAAGGCATTGGATTCCATTACAGATGGTTGTCAGCCACCATGTGATTGCTGGGACTTGAACTCAGGACCTCTGGAGGAACAATCATTGCTCTTAACCACTGAGACATCTCTTCAGCCCTGTCTCATCCAATTTTATACACACCTGACTCCTATGTCATTCCTCTGGGCTGTTCTTATAGATCTTCTGTTTTTAAATCCCTCCTATTTATCTGATCTTTCCTAATGAGCCTGTGTAGATTTTGCTTCCTCTGCTTCCTATCAGACATCTTAGAGACTTTTATCAGACATTCTTAAACACTTCAATCCTAGCCCCATCCTTAAAAGCACTGTAGACAATACCATCTGCATAAAGGACTTGGCCACTATCACTATACTAAGGATGCTTTTTTCCCATCTGAGAACCATATATTAATCCACACCAACCTAGACTGTTCTCAAGCACAGCAGATGCCAGAGAACACCCTATCTCAATGGAACTGGTCCAAAAGCACAACAAAGGGAACATTTGATCTTTTAAAACGAACACACTAGACAATGTCACCATCCTAACCAGATTTACAGTGAGTAGTAACAATAGGAAGTTTTAGGCACAAATGTACAATGTTGCCAAGAGATCTTTTGGCATATTTACCAAAAGGCAAGTCAGACAGCATAAGTAACTTGCCTGAAGCCACACAGAAGATAAGTGTGAGAGAACATTTGACCTCAAGTAACCTGGCTTCAGAGTACCCTGCCTGATTTTGCACCCAGCCTTCTCTCAGAGTGAGAGTTCTGCTTGTCATTCTGGACTCTGCCCACTTCCCCCACCTTCCTCTCCTACTATTAGACAGACACCAGGATCCCTTCGCTTCGGTCCTCTAGTTATTGTGATGGAGTTTGTGACTTCTGGGAAAATACCACAGAATCAATCCAGCTATAATTAAAGGATTTATTTATTTATTTATTTTTTATTTATTTATTTTAAAAGACTTACTTATTTTTATGTGGATACACTGTCTCACAGATGGTTGTGAGCCACCATGCAGTTGCTGGGACTTGAACTCAGGAGCTCTGGAAGAGCAGTCAGTGCTCTTAACCACTGAGCCATCTCTCCAGCCCCAAAAGTCTTTTCTTTTTTCTTTTCTTTCTTTTCTTCCTTCCTTCCTTCCTTCCTTCCTTCCTTCCTTCCTTCCTTCCTTTCTTTCTTTCTTTCTTTCCTTTTTTTTTTTTTTTTTTTTGGTTTTTCGAGACAGGGTTTCTCTGTATAGCCCTGGCTGTCCTGGAACTCACTCTGTAGATCAGGCTGGCCTTGACCTCAGAAATCTACCTGCCTCTGCCTCTGCCTCTGCCTCCCAAGTGCTGGGATCAAATGTGTGCGCCACCACCACCCGGCCTAAAGGATTTATTGATTGATTTGCTGCTAGCAGGACGAACATTCTCTGAGCCAATTTTGAGGTTGCCACCAAGGAGGGGTACAGGGAAGGGCTTTCAAGGGGAAAACCACACGAAGACCTTCAATCTCTATGTTCTTTTCTGCCAAGTTACGTGGCTAAGGCAACTCAAAACAGTCTCTGAGTATCTGTGTAAGCAAGTTAAAGAAGCAAAAGAAAGCAGTTAGTTATATATAACTAAAAGATAGTAATGTCTGTACATTTTTCCGTGGGTGTCCTTAAGTCAGGGTTACTGGGAGCTTATCTTCCAGGAACTCAAGTCAGAGACAAACAACTGGTGAGTACTAAGATGAATGCCTTCCATAAAATGGAGGTCCTTTAGCCATAACATTATCTTTTGAACCAAGTAGCCTTGCTTCATGTCCTTGCTACCATTTAGTGGGCTAAAAATTACTTTTAAAATCGTTTTCTGTGGCTATCCATTGTCTGTTGTGCCTCCTGTAGCTCTTATGTCACATTGCTGTCATTACAATACTACTACAAGGACAACGATGACACTACTACTAGTCTGACTATATTGCTCCCCTGGGCATAATTTTTAATGCCTTTATATTTCTACAACAAAAAAATCTGCTCACTCAGAGAATCTTATTAAATGGTTAATCATCTGGACGTCATGGCTACACTAAAAGAGCTCTCTCCCCTGCAAATCCCTCTCAGTCTCCTGGGAGGAGGCATGTTTTCCTCCTCCTTCTCCTCCCTTTGTCCTTTCTACATATCTCTGTGATAGGCTCTATTTAAAACGTGGCATTGTAAACCTCTGATATACTTCTTTCCACAGTTTGTAGACTCTGAAAACAAAGACAGTCTTCTCCTCTTGGTGTTTTACCAACCTGTATATTGCCCAGCGCAGGGGAGTACCTTTTAAGTAAATATTGAAAGATTTAAGGCATTCCCTAAGCCATCAGTTGTCCTACTGTGGCATGCTGACACTGTAGGAAAGATGTGGA